ATTTAAATTATCCTAATTAACCTAGTTTGAGAGTAAAAATTCTTTTAAATTTATCAACTCAAAAACGAGGTTAGTTGGGCTAATTTTAATACTTACAAAAAAATTCTCAATTGGCAGCCATTTGTGAATAGGGTCTATAAGTGACCACATACTAATAATTTGTCAGCTTCCCATCGAAGCAGCTCAATTTCGTAAGCCACACATGTACACATTGCGGACCTATTTTTTTCATTTGTATTCAACGCCGGTGGTTGCCCGATTTTCACAGGCAAATCAAGAGCCTGTGGGATTCTCGTACTCAGCTCTCCCCGGCTAAGGTAACAGACGTGGAGACACCAAGTGTTTTAATTACGTTGGAGTTTTATATGGTCAATTATACCGTGCTCTACAAATATGGTAAACGTACGCGTAAATTTTAGGGGGCGTTTTTATTTTTACGTTATTATATCATTTTCTATATAGTGGGGCCAGGAACGTTTTTAACAAAACAATTTTTCTATTCGCGCTTGTTGGATATGAGATGATCATAGCCAACTCGGCGCTATGCACCTCGTTGGCTATGTATCACCTGAAACCTAACAAGCGCGAGTGGACTAATTGTGAAGTGGCCAGTATATGGGTAACAGATGGTAGATTTAGGAAAGAGCTATCCATCAGAATTTCTTGTAGTATGATCCATTACCTTCTGTGAAACAGAGGTACTCGGGATCGAAGAATTAAAATGTCATATCAAAAGAAAATCATTTTTTCTTGGTCACATTTAATAATATCGCATTCTACAACAGTTCCAGGCGTTTTGCTTTGTTCCCCAAATTATCTGGGGAGTCTCGCTTTAAACAAAAGTGAACTCAGAGGTGTCAGGGGTATTCATTAGTCATTATACAACCAGTCGGCATTACTGCTTGATTATGTCCTATTCATGGAAAATGAACTTAATTGACATAAAGCAATTCATTTCAGTCGTGACTGTTCTTGGTAAGTAACTGACTTTGTTATTGTTTGCATCGGGTGGGCTGCACAACATGGAACTAAGTTGTTTTCAGTTGTATTGCGAGCGGCCCAAGCAAGTACAAATAAAGTGGTCCACATTTTTGCTATCCAGACGGCGTAAAAGATGGAATGTAATGTAAATGTTAACGTAAATCTTATTTATAGTGGTCAGGCACTTAGCTATACAAGCACTAATTGTAAGTTTGGATTCTTAATAGTTTATGTTATATTTGAAATATTTGTTTATTTATTTACAGTATCCCCAATTAGCACATTAGCGCTAAATACATCGACACTTAAATAGAGTGATTATTATTATTATTATTATTATTATTATTATTATTAAGTTTAAAGTGCCTATGAAGTAAAAAGTAATTGCTGCTGATTTGAAAGGCTTTTCAAAGTAAAGAAGAATGCGGTTTTCCTTTTTGGAATAACTTTTTTCGTTTTAGAGATATTAACGTTTTTGTATTATAAGTGGTGACGTCATAGGTGGTTCCACTAAAACAGTTCAACACTCAATCAAGAATATCTCTAGAAATATTAGTGCAGTGTTCTTTAAACTTGGCACCAGAAATGTACATCACAAAAGAAACAAAATGACACCCGTTGTGCCGTCACCATGACAACAGTTATGCCGCTGGTCCTGTTTTAATTAAAACTAACATTACCAGATTTTATCTTAAACAAGGATCATCCACTCCCAACAA